GAGCCTTGCAGCTGCAGGCAAATACTCCCAGGGATGGTCTTTGCAGCTGCAAGGCTACCCAATGCTAATCAAGCTTATTGTCGAAGGCTTTCATGGCCGGAATCACTGGGTTGTTGTAGTTTTTTTGGGGCTATATGGCCATGTTCTAGAGGCATTCTCTCCTGACATTTCGCCTGCATCTATGGCAAGCATCCTCAGAGGTAGTGAGGTCTGTTGGAAATGGGTTTATACATCTGGAATGACCAGGGTGGGACAAAGGACTCTTGTCTGCTGGAGCTAGGTGTAAATGTTTCAACTGACCACCTTGATTAGCATTGGATGGCCTGGCAGTGCCTGGAGCAATCTTTTGTTGAGAGGTGATTAGATGTGCCTGATTGTTTCCTCTCTGTTGTTTTGCTGTTGTAATTTTAGAGTTTTTTGATAATGGTAGCCAGATTTTGTTACTTTTCATGGTTTCCTCTTTTCTGTTGAAATTGTCCACATGCCTCTTGTGGATTTCAATAGCCTCTCTGTGCAGTCTGACATGGTAGTTGTGAGAAGGAAAACAATCTGGGACATCTAATCACCTCTCAACAAAAGATTGCCCCAGGCACTGCCAGGCCATCAAATGCCAATCAAGGTGGTCAGTTGAAACATTCACATCTAGCTCCAGCAGACAAGAGTCCTTTGTCCCACCCTGGACATCATTCCACAGATATATAAACCCTTTTTCCTAGTTCCAACAGACCTCTCTATTTCTGAGGATGCTTGCCATAGATGCAGGCGAAACGTCAGGAGAGAATGCCTCTAGAACATGGCCATATAGCCCGAAAAAACCTACAACAATCCACTAATCAAGCTTGCTAATTACAACATCCACACTTGCTTCAAACAGAGAAGGGTTCTTTCTCCCACCCTGGACATTATTCCATAGGCATGTATGTGTGTGTGAATATCTCTGTGTGTATACACACACACACACATAACACATACACATATTTACACACACTAGGCATGGTTAGGTTCAGTCGGAATCTTCGTAATTCGGATTAAATTCGGAAAGATTAGCTTTTTGAAGCGATTTTGAAGTTTTTAAGGAAACCAGAAGTCCCTTTGCCCTTCCGAAGCTTTTTCCGCCATTTCTGTTACGAAGCAGTAAGTGAGTCGGAAATGATTCAGCTTTTCCCCGCTTCTGGTCCCTGGCCTCGTCTCAAGCCAGAGAAGCTGTTTCAAACCAGAGCGGATGAGTTTCCTCCCTTTGCTTCCCCCTTTCTTTTTGTTTTTGTTTTTAAATAATCGTTATTTGAAATTTTCAATTAATGACAGAATTTTTTATAAGATAAAAAGAGAGAGAAAAAGTGTTTTGGAAAAAAAGGAGAAAAAATAATGTATAAAATTTCTAATAGGAAAAGAAAAAAAATATAGAAAAAATAAATATATAGAAAAGAGAAGAAAGGAAAAACAAAAAAATTCTAGAATATAAGAATGATAGAAAGAGAGATATTTTGACTCCCTGGTATCTTCCAGAGGACTTTTCACCTTTTCATTTCTTCTTCATCTTCTCTTCCTTCTTATTTGCTTCTCCCCCCCCCCCCTCTTCTTGCAGACTTTCTCTTTATTTTTCCCCAATCTTATCTACTAAATCAAAATCTTCTTAATTTTTGTTGTTTTAAATATTCAGTAACTTTTTTTCCAATCTGTTTCTTTCATTTTTATTCCTTTATTCTTTGACATGAGAAAAGTGAGACTGTCCATGTTTCTGATCTCTGGAGAACTTTCAATGAAACAGGAAATAACACTTTCAAGCCATTAAGGAAGGATTCGGAAGTCTCGGAAGTTTCGAAAAGTTTTAAATGTTTTTTCCTGTGAAAATGTGAATTGACTTTAGAATCGAATCACCAGTGCCCCCTATATCCGAAATGAGTTTTGAACCATTTTTTAAAATCAAATAAGCCTAACACACGCTCCACTTGCCTCATTGCCAACTCCTTTGAGGATGCCATTAGCCACAGATGCAGGTGAAATGTCAGGAGAGAATGCTACTAGAACAAGAGCCATCCAGCAACACAGTGATTCCAGCCATGAAAGCCTTCAACAACATGTCTTTATCCAAACTGCACCTGAATGGGTCTCTGTGGGATGTGTGTGTATGTGGGTGTGTGTGTGTGTCTGGAGCGCCCTGACCTCTGACCCTTCCTCCCCAGGACGAGGGCTCCCCGCCTCCCCCCTCGCTGACCGCAGAGAAGACTAGCAACGGGATGCTGAACGGACTTCCGGAGGGTCTTCCGATGGGAGACGGCGCTGAGGAAGAAGACCCCTGCGAGGAGGGCTTTGTCCGGGAAGAAGGGGCCCACGCCTTCGTCCTCAGGGAGACCTCCCTCTGACCTGGACCGAGGGATGGACAGGTGGACGGGTGGACAGATGGAAGAAAAGTGGGGGGCACCTTATGGGGGTCTCTCTGGTCTGGGAAAGAAGGAGCCCCTTTTGTGCCAAAGGGTCTCTGTGCCAAAGGAGCCCCTCCTCGCATTTGCGAGGGGGGTCCTCTGACCGCGGGGGTCTAGCCCTTCCGGCTGGCCCTCTGCGCAGACTTATTCTGGGGCCAATCAAGAGGTGCGCCTCTTCTCTCCTTCCTCTCCCCCCAAAGCAAGCGCCAAGCACAAGAGTCCCCTCCCTGCCCCATCTCATCTGTCTCAGGTGTGCTTATATTGGGGGAAGGGAAGGGGGGTCACCAAAGAAGCCATGTGACCTCCTCGTGGGGTCACCCTGCTGCTGTCCTTGCAGGCCTGAATCTCTGTCGGGCGGAGTGATCCCGGCAAGCGCTGGATCCGCCCCACAGGCGCCCCTCTTTCCTCTCACGTGGGGCACTCGGAGGGCATCCAAACACGGGGAGGAGGGTGCTGCAGGGTTGTGTGTGTGTGTGTGGGGACATTCCCAACTCTGAGCCATTCCTTTCCATCTGGAGTAAAGAGAACCCTAACCTTGACCCTTCCCCTTAGGAGGAGGGGGAGGGCTCGTTATTTTGGGGGGCCAAGTGTTTGTGTGTGTGTGTCTCCCCCACACACGCTCGTTTTTGTATCCCTCGTTCCGTGTCTGCGAGAAGTCGTTCTATTTTCCTTGTTCCTTGTCTTTTCAATGCTCAGCGGACGGTTTTCTTTGCCGCTGTCAGTAAAAATGGTTCTTGTTGATGCCGATGGGGTTTGACTCCAGTGTGTGTGTGTGGGGGGGGGGGGGGGGGGGGGGGGGGGGGGTCCTCTGAAGTGTGTGTTTCGCCTGCAAAATCTCAGGCCTGGGCCAACTTTGGCCCTCCCTCCCTCCTTCCTCCCTCCTCCCTCCCGGTAGGAATTGTTAGGTAGACTGTTAGGAATTGTGGGAGTTGAAGTCCAAAACACCTAGAGCAGCGTTTTTCAACCTGGGGGTTGGGACCCCTGGGGGGGGGGGGTGTCAGAGGGGTCACCAAAGACGCTAAAAAAACACAGTATTTTCTGTTGGTCATGGGGGTTCTGTGTGGGAAGTTTGGCCCAAACTCCACCAATGTTCACATTTGGGCATATTGAGTATTCATGCCACTTTTGGTCCAGATCCATCATTGTTTGAGTCCAGTGTTCTCTGGATGTAGGTGAACTACAACTCCCAAACTCAAGGTCAATGCCCACCAAACCCTTCCAATATTGTCTGTTGATCATGGGAGTTCTATGTGCCAAGTTTGGTTCATTTCCATCATTTGTGGAGTTCAGAATGCTCTTTGGTTTCACTCTCCAAGGTGAAAGTGGCAGTTAAAACCGTTTGTCTCAGCAGCAAGCTAGAGACAGTAGCCAATCAGAATTTGGTTGTAGGTATAAATCCCAGCAACTACAACTCCCAAATGACAAGGTTTATTTTCCCCAAACTCCAGCAGTATTCACCTTTGGGCATATTAAGTATTCATGCCAAGTCAAGTTCAGAGCCATCATGGTTTGAGTCCACAGTGTTCTCTGGATGTAGGTGAACTACAACTCCCAAACTCAAGGCTGCTCTGAGTTGCCTCCGGGCTGATATGAGTGGGGTAGAAATAATGCAAATAAATAAATAAAGGCCAATGCAAAAATATAAAAATGTCACATCCAAAAGAGACAATCAGAATATAAAATGCAATATACAAAATAGTTCAGTAGCAAGAATGCAAAAGTGCAAGAATGCAAAAGTGCAAGAATGCAAAAGTGCAAGAATGCAAAAGTGCAAGAATGCAAAAGTGCCAGGTAAACTCCAAAATCCAGGAGTGTAAGAATGCAGAAGTAATCCAAGGTATTTCCACGAACGTGAACACCAGAATCTCTCCAAGGTAAGTCCTCCAAAGGTACATAAGCATAGGCAGGAAACTTGGAAATTTGGCAATACAGGAACCAGGAACTTGTTAACATGAAGAGGAGACTGACTCCCCAATAGCAACGTTGTCTCCTCTGAGAAGCTGGAAGCCAACCCACTTAATGTAAGCCTGAACAGGCACCCATGACATCATGTCTAACACACCTGGGCTTCAAGGTCTTATCATTAGTTTGCCTGTTTTTCACACCCTGCATTCTCAAATTTAATCTACACTCCCTTGGAACCTCCCCGTCTTTCCAAGGTTGTTTCTCAAGGGAACTGGTATTTTGCCTGGGAACAATAGAAATTGCAGCCTCATCTTCCTGGAATTCCCCCAGATGTCTCATTTTGGAAACCATCATCCCCCTCATCATCTGAACGCTCAGAAAAATCCTCTGATGCTTGCCAGACTACAACACCTTTCTTCCCCTCCTTCCACCCCTATTTTTTATCTTTTCTTTCTGTTTGGCTGGGGGAGGGCACTCGGTGGGCCTCCCCAACGGCTTGTATGGGCTGCATGTGCTCCATGAGCCGTATGTTGTGGGGGGGGGGGGGGGGGGGGGGGGGGAGATCCTGTCGAATTGGGATAGGTGCCTGATTTATAGTTTTCACCTCCCAATCATGCCCTCCCTAAATACCCTGCGGCACCAGAGTGATAGTCTCAGGGGCAAGCTAGGAAAATAAACCCAAACATAGCAGAGTCCTTATCAGTTGTCAGCAGAGTTTAACTGCCCAGCTTGACCTTGTGCTGCTCAGTGTTTCGGAAAACTCCTTGACTCTGGTTTTCATCCAAACCCACAGTGGAGGCTTTTAATCTTGACACGTTGCTCTACGTACAGCTATATACACACATCAGGGTCCCCTGTGTTGGAGGTTGAAGACAATATAAATAACAGTCTCTGAATTCTCACAGAGAGCATGGGGAATAAACAGTCCTTTCAAATAGTCTTTAAAATATGCTTCATGCCTTAGAAATGATCAGGTTTCAGAGAGTTGGCAGCCATTTCCTTCCTAGCTGTTTCCAGTCAGCGCCCTCTTCACTCTCCAAGGTGAAAGTGGCAGTTAAAACTGTTTGTCTCAGCAGCAAGCTAGAGACAGTAGCCAATCAGAATTCTGGCTCCTATGCATGCTCAGCCAATCAGCTGCCGACACATGTCTTTCCAGTCAACCCATTACATCATGGTGCCCTTTTACAAATCCTCACACCCTGCTCTCCTATCAATCAAGGCATAGGTAACAGAGATCAGCAACAGAGAATTCTCACAGAGAACATGGGGAATAAATAGTCCTTTCAAACAGTCTTTAAAATATGCTTCGTGCCTTAGAAATAATCAAGCTTCAGAGAGCCGGCAGCCATTTCCTTCCTGGCTGTTTCCAGTCAGCGCCCTCTTCACTCTCCGAGGTGAAAGTGGCAGTTAAAACTGTTTGTCTCAGCAGCAAGCTAGAGACAGTAGCCAATCACAATTCTGGATCCTTGCATGCTCAGCCAATTAGCTGCTGATACATATCTTTCCAATTGAATTCTGGGCACCACAATTCAAGAGAGATATTGACAAGCTGGAATGTGTCCAGAGGAGGGCGACTAAAATGATCAAGGGTCTGGAGAACAAGCCCTATGAGGAGCGGCTTAGGGAACGTGGCATGTTTAGCCTGAAGAAGAGAAGGCTGAGAGGAGGCATGATGAGGGCCATGGATAAATACGTGAGAGGAATCCACAGGGAGGAGGGAGCAGATCAAGGGTCTGGAGAACAAGCCCTATGAGGAGCTGCTTAGGGAACTGGGCATGTTTAGCCTGAAGAAGAGAAGGCTGAGAGGAGACATGATAGCCATGTATAAATATGTGAGAGGAAGCCACAGGGAGGAGGGAGCAGATCAAGGGTCTGGAGAACAAGCCCTATGAGGAGCGGCTTAAGGAGCTGGGCATGTTTAGCCTGAAGAAGAGAAGGCTGAGAGGAGATATGATGAGAGCCATGTATAAATACCTTCTATGATCCTTCCTGGCTGTTTCCAGTCAGTGCCCTCTTCACTCTCTGAGGTGAAAGTGGCAGTTAAAACCGTTTGTCTCAGCAGCAAGCTAGAAACAGTAGCCAATCAGAATTCTGGTTCCTTGCATGCTCAGCCAATTAGCTGCTGATACATATCTTTCCAGTCAACCTATTACATCATGGTGCCTTTTTACAAACCCTCACATCTTATAGGCAAAGATATACTCATGACGTAGATAACAGATATCAGCAACAGATGTACTCCTAAAGCAGGCCTGGGCAAATTTGGCCCTCCAGGTGTTTTGGACTACAACTCCCACAATTCCTAACAGCCTATCGGCTGTTAGGAATTGTGGGAGTTGCAGTCCAAAACACCTGGAGGGAGGGCCCAAGTTGGCCCAGAAATAGCCGTGTGTCCAGTTCTGGACAACGCCGTGTCTCTTCTTTCCCTGAATCCGACAAGGCTGAGCCCGATCCCTTGGCCCTTGTGTTGACAACTTGTGGGAGGGAGATTGCAAAAGAGATTGCAGCTGATTATAAACTCATTTGAAGGAGAGAGGCGCAGGCGGAAGGCAGAAGGAAGGAGGCCGAAGAACCAGAACAACAGCCACGGGATCAAAGGACACAGCCCACACACCCCAGAACACTCTGTCCCTGGCTTATCAGTGCCCGCTCCTCACTGGGACTCTGGGTCGTCATCCAAACACAGGGAAAGGTTTATGAAACTGCAGAAACTTTGTGGGACTGACATCCTGCAGCAGCAGCAGCACTTTTTGCAATAATAGTTTATGAATATCACATCACAGAATCTCAACCAATTCCAGCCACAAAAACAATGACTTTCAAAGCCAGGACCGCACAATTAAACAGGATAGGACACTTCCAAACCTGAACATGAGGAAGAACTTCCTGACTGTGAGAGTTGTTCAGCAGTGGAACTCTCTGCTGCAGAGTGTGGCGGAGGCTCCTTCTTTGGAGGCTTTGAAGCACAGGCTAGGTGGCCATCTCTTGGGGGTGCTTTGATTGTGAGTGTCCTGCTTCTTGGCAGAATGGGGTTGGACTGGATGATGGCCCAGGAGGTCTCTTCCAACTCTAGGATTCTAGGATTCTATGACAGTTTCAGAATTTTGTTTTTTAGTGCAACCCTGACCCCAAGTCCTTGTGAAAGTACAACTCCCAATCTTCCCACAGCAATAGTTTTCTAATGTGTCCAATTCTGGGCACCGCAATTGAGGGAGATGTTGACTCTAAGTTGGAATGTGTCCAGAGGAGGGTGACTCAAATGATCAAGGGTGTGGAGAACAAGCCCTGTGAGGAGCGGCTTAAGGAGCTGGGCATGTTTAGCCTGAAGAAGAGAAGGCTGAGAGGAGACATGATGAAGGCCATGTATAAATATGTGAGAGGAAGCCACAGGGAGGAGGGAGCAGATCAAGGGTCTGGAGAACAAGCCCTATGAGGAGCGGCTTAAGGAGCTGGGCATGTTTAGCCTGAAGAAGACAAGGCTGAGAGGAGATATGATGAGAGCCATGTATAAATATGTGAGAGGAAGCCACAGTGAGGAGGAGGGAGCAAGCTTCCTTTCTGCTTCCCTGGAGACTAGGACGCAAGGGAACAATGGCTTCAAAGTACAAGAGAGGAGATTCCACCTGAACATGAGGAAGAACTTCCTGACTGTGAGAGCTGTTCAGCAGTGGAACTCTCTGCCCCAAAGGGAGTGTGGTGGAGGCTCCTTCCTTCTTTGGAGGCTTTTAAGCAGAGGCTGGATGTCCATCTGTGGGGGGTGCTTTGAATGCAACATTCCTGCTTCTTGGCAGAAGGGGGTTGGACTGGATGATGGCCCAGGAGGGCTCTTCCCACTCTAGGATTCTATGACAGTTTGGGAATTTTGTTCCTTAGTGCAAGCCTGATCCCAAGTCCTCGCCAAACTACAACTCCCAAAATTCCCAGAACAATGGATATCACATCATAGAATCTCAACTAATTTAATAGGCGGTGTAATGAATATAGGAAAATGGAACAATTGGATGATGAAACTGGATCCTGATTCCAATTATGAGACACTAACGAGAAGTTTATTGATGTATAATTGATTGTTTAATATGCTACTGTTTTAATTGTTTGTAACTGTTTTATATTGTTCTGAGCGTTGAATTTTGCTATTGTGAACTGCTTTGAGTCGCCCTGAGACTATATAGTAAACAAATATAGTAAACAAATATAGTAAATAAATAAATACTTTAATAAACGTTGTGGCAGCCGCGGAAACAACTTTCAAAGTCAGGAATACACAATTAAACAGGAGACAACACTTTCAAACCAGGGACAGTTTGGGAATTTCGTTCCTTAGTGGAACTTTGATCCCAAGTCCTCACCAAACTACAGCTTGCAAGATTCCCAGAGCATGGTTGTGCAGGTCCCTATGAGATAATCCTCTCACATATTATTTATATATGGCCCTCATGTCTCCTCTCAGCCTTCTCTTCTTCAGGGTAAACATGCCCAGGTCTTTCAGCCGCTCCTCATAGGGCTTGTTCTCCAGACCCTTGATCCTTTGAGACACCCTCCTCTGGACTCATTCCAGGTTTGAGTCCACATCTCCCTTCCATTGTGGTGCCCAGAAATGGACACAGCATTCAATGGCCCTCATCCTGCCTCCTCTCAGCCTCCTCTTCTTCAGGCTCAACATGCCCAGCTCCTTAAGCCGCTTCTCATAGGGCTTGTTCTCCAGGCCCTTGGTCATTTGAGTCGCCCTTTTCCTCTGGACACATTCCAGCTTGTCAACTCTCACATATGCATACATGGCCGTCATCCTGTCTCCTCTCAGCCTCCTCTTCTTCAGGCTCAACATGCCCAGCTCCTTAAGCCGCTCCTCATAGGGCTTGTTCTCCAGACTCCCCTGGATCCTTTGAGTCACCCTCTTCCTCTGGACACATTCCAGCTTGTCAACTCTCACATATTTATACATGGCCCTCATCCTGTCTCCTCTCAGCCTTCTCTTCTTCAGGCTGAACATGCCCATCTGTTTAAGCCGCTCCTCATAGGGATTGTTTGTTTTAGTTGCCCTCCTCTGGACACAGTATTCCAGCTTAGAGTCCACCTCTCCCTTCAATTCTGCGTCCTAGTATCCGGGGAAGCAGAAAACAAGCTTGCTCCCTCCTCCCTGTGGCTTCCTTTCACATATTTATACATGGCTCTCCTCTCAGCCTTCTCTTCTTCAGGCTAAACATGCCCAGCTCCTTAAGCCGCTCCTCATAGGGCTTGTTCTCCAGACCCTTGATCTTTTTGCTCCCTCCTCCCTGTGTCTTCCTCTCACGTATTTACACATGGCTATCATGTCTGCTCTCAGCCTTCTCTTCTTCAGGCTAAACATGTCTAGCTCTTTAAACCGTTCCTCATAGGGCTTGTTCTCCAGACCCTTGATCATTTTAGTTGCCTTCCTCTGGACACATTCCAGTTTGTCAATATCTCGCTTCCTCTGTGGCTTCCTCTCACATATTCATACATGGCTATCATATCTCCTCTCAGCCTTCTCTTCTTCAGGCTAAACATGCCCAGCTCCTTAAGCCGCTCCTCATAGGGCTTGTTATCCAGACCCTTGATCATTTAGTCACCCTCCCTATGACATATTCCCTTCTCATATTTATTCATGGCTATCATGCCTCCTCTCAGCCTTCTCTCCTTCAGGCTAAACATGCCCAGCTCCTTAAGCCGCTCCTCATAGGGCTTGTTCTCCAGACCCTTGATCATTTGAGCCGCTCTCTTCCTCTGGAAACATCCCAGTCCGTTCCCGAATGGCAAATCCTGACATTGCCTGTGCTTCTCCCTAATGACCCTTTCCTTCACTCTCCAATTCGGCTTGCGCGGTCCCTTTAAGAGCCGCCCGGCTTTTTTAGCCCTTCTCAAAGATGGCGCTCCGGTGAGGGCTGTGTGGGAGCGGGCGGAAGTTCCGGGAGGGGGCACGTGACTGGAGCCGGGCTGTGTTGCGCTGACGTGGGCTTGGGGTTAGTGCGCATGCGCGGGGGGGAGAGGAGTAGCGGTGCGGCAGGAGCGGGGCTGAGGGAAGGAGGAGGCGGTGGCGGCATGAGGTGACCGGCCTGGCCTTCCTTCCTTCCTTCTTGGCTTCTTCCCTGGAGATGGCTCCCCGGCGCCGCCCCCCGGAGCTGTACCGCGCTCCGTTCCCGCTCTACGCGCTCCGGCTCCACCGGGGGTCCCCGCTGCTGGCGCTTCTGGCCGGGGGAGGAGGCGCCGCCAAGACCGGCATCGCCAACGCCCTGGTGAGGAGGCGCCTGCCAGGGATCCGGCTGGCTTGGGCCTACCTCGGCCTGGGCAAACTTCGTCGCTCCAGGTGTTTTGGACTTCACCTCCCACAATTCCTCACAGCCGGTAGGCTGTGAGGAATTGTGGGAGTTGTAGTCCAAAACACCCAGAGGGAGGGAAGGCCGAGGTAGGCCCAAGCCCTTCTTAAAGTGACAGCACCTCCTTAAAGGGATAGAACCTCAAGTGCCACCTTAAAGACAGGACCTTCTCAAAGGGACAGCACATCCTTAAGGGGGCAGGAGCCCATTAAAGGGATAGGGCATCCTTAAAGGGGCAGCGCCTCCTTAAAAGAGGATGTTCTCAAAGGGCGAGCCCATCCTTAAAGGCACAGGACCCCACTGAAAGGATAAGGCCTTCTTAAGGGGACCTAGCTTCCTTCAAGACAGGACCTCCTTAGAGGGACCAAGCCCCCCATTAAAGAGACAAGACCCCTTTAAAGACAGGGCATTTCTCAAAGGAACAATGCATCCTTAAAGGCACAGGAACCAATGAAAGGGATAGGGCACCCTTAAAGGGGCAGCGCCTCCTTAAAAGAGGATGTTCTCAAAGGGAGAGCCCATCCTTAAAGGCACAGGACCCCACTGAAAGGATAAGGCCTTCTTAAGGGGACCTAGCTTCCTTCAAGACAGGACCTCCTTAGAGGGACCAAGCCCCCCATTAAAGAGACAAGACCCCTTTAAAGACAGGGCATTTCTCAAAGGAACAATGCATCCTTAAAGGCACAGGAACCAATGAAAGGGATAGGGCACCCTTAAAGGGACAGCACCTCCTTAAAAGATGATGTTCTCAAAGGGAGAGTGCATCCTTAAAGACACAGGACTCAATTAAAGGGGTAAGGTAAAGGTAGTCCCCTGACATTAAGTCCAGTCATGTCTGACTCTGGGGTGTGGTGCTCATCTCCATTTCTAAGCCGAAGAGCCAGCGTTGTCCGTAGACACCTCCAAGGTCATGTGGCTGGCAGGACTGCATGGAGCAGGGCCTCCTTAAAGACAGGATCTTCTCAAAGGGAGAGCGCATCCTTAAGGGGGTAGGAGCCCATTAAAGGGATAGGACATCCTTAAAGGGACAGCGCCTCCTTAAAGACAGGACCTTCCCAAAGGGAGAGCACATCCTTAAAGGCACAAGACCCAACTGAAAGGGTAGGGCCTTCTTAAGGGGACCTTTCCTCCTTCATGACAGGATCTACTTAAAGGCACCAGGCCCCCCATTAAAGGGACATGCCCCCTTTAAAGACAGGGCATTTCTCAAAGGGATACCGCATCCTTAAAGGCACAGGACCCAATTAAAAGGATAGGACATCCTTAAAGGGACAGGGCCCACTTCAGGATAGGACCTTCTTAAAAGGACTGCACATCCTTAAAGGGATAGGACCTCCTTAAGGAAAAAGGGCCTCCTTAAAAACAGGACCTTCTCAAAGGGACAGCACATCCTTAAGTGGGCAGCAGCCCATTAAAGGGATAGGGCACCCTTAAAGGGACAGTGCCTCCTTAAAAGAGGATGTTCTCAAAGAGACAGCACATCTTTAAAGGCACAGGACCCAACTGAAAGGATAGGGCCTTCTTAAGGGGACCTTGCCTCCTTCAAGACAGGACCTCCTGAAAGGGACCAAGCCCCTTTTAAAGACAGGACATCTCTCAAAGGGACAGTGCATCCTTAAAGGAACAGGACCCAATGAAAGGGATTTGACATCCTTAAAGGGACTGGACCCACTTCAGGATAGGACCGTCTCAAAGGGACAGCACATCCGTAAGAGGGTAGGAGCCCATTAAAGGGTTAGGACCTTCTTAAGAGAAAAGGGCCTCCTTAAAAACAGGACCTTCTCAAAGAGAGAGCACATCCTTAAAGGCACAGGACCCAACTGAAAGGATAGGGCCTTCCCAGACAGGATCTCCTTAAAGGGACCAGGCCCCCCATTCAAGGGACAAGCCCCCTTTAAAGACAGGGCATTTCTCAAAGGGACAGTGCATCCTTAAAGGCACAGGACCCAATTAAAGGGATAGGACATCCTTAAAGGGACAGGGCCCACTTCAGGATAGGACCTTCTTAAAAGGACTGCACATCCTTAAATGGATAGGACCTCCTTAAGGGAAAAGTGCCTCCTTAAAAACAGGACCTTCACAAAGGGACAGCGCATCCTTAAGGGGGTAGGAGCCCATTAAAGGGATAGAGCACCCTTAAAGAGACAGCGACTCCTTAAAGACAGGATCTTCTCCAAAGGACAGCTCATCCTTAAAGGGACAGGGTCTCCCCCTTAAAGAGACAGTGCCTCCATCAAGACAGGACGTTCCCACAAGGGAGAGCGCATCCTTAAAGGCACAGGACCCAGCTGAAAGGATAGGGCCTTCTTAAGAGGACAGTGCCTCGCTAAAGAGACTGGTCCCCATTAAAGGGAACAGAGCCCCCTTAAAGACAGGATCTTCAGAAAGGGGGAGCATATCCTTAAAAAGAAGGGGCCCCCTTAAAGAGACAGCGCCTCCTTAAGGACTGACTGTTCTCAAAGGGAGAGCGCATCCTTAAAGGCACAAAACCCAACTGCAGGGATAGGGCCTTCTTAAGGGGACAGTGCCTCCTTCCAGACAGGATCTCCTTAAAGGCACCAGGCCCCCCATTCAAGGGACAAGCCCCCTTTAAATGCAGGCATTTCTCAAAGGGAAACCGCATCCTTAAAGGCACAGGACCCAATTAAAGGGATACTTCAGGATAAGACCTTCTTAAAAGGACTGCACATCCTTAAAGTGACAGAAGGCCATTAAAGGGACACTGCTCCCTTAAAGAGACAGCGCCTCCATAAGGACTGAACGTTCTCAATGGGAAAGCACATCCTTAAAGACACAAGACCCAACTGCAGGGATAGGGTCTTCTTAAAGGGACAGCGCCTCCTTAAAGGGACAGGTCCTTGTTAAAGACCTTCAGAAAGGGGCAGCACATCCTTAAAGGCACAGGACCCAATACAAGGGATAGGACCTCTTTAAAGGGATAGGACGTCCTTTGAGAAAAGTGCCTCCTTAAAAACAGTGCTTTCTCAAAGGGACAGCACATCATTAAGGGAGCCGGAGACCATTAAGGGGATAGGGCCCCCTTAAAGGGAAAGCGCCTCCTTAAAGACTGGATGTTCTCAAAGGGAGAGCGCATCCTTAAAAGGCACAAGACCCAACTGAAGGGATAGGGCCTTCTTAAGGGCACAGTGTCTCCTTCAAGACAAAACCTTCTCAGAGGGACAGCACCTCCTTAAAGGGACATGGCCCCATTAAAGGGACAAGGCCCCCTTAAAGACAGGACCTTCTCAAAGGGACAACGCATTCTTAAAGGCACAAGACCCAATAAAAGGGATAGGACCTCCTTAAAGATACAGCGCCTCCTTAAAGACCAGACATTCTCAAAGGGACAGCTCATCCTTAAAGGGACAGGGGCCCCTTAAAGAGACAGTGCCTCCTTAAGGACTGGACGTTCTTAAAGGGACAGCACATTCTCAGAGGTACAGAACCCCACTGCAGGGATAGGGTCTTCTTAAGGGGACAGCGCCTCTTTCCAGGCAGGACCTTCTCAAAGGGACAGGGCCTGCTTAAAGGGACAGGTCCCCATTAAAGGTACGGGACTTTCTAAACTGCAGGTGAAATGTCAGGAGAAGATGCTGCTAGAACATGGCCATACAGGCTGGAAACCACACAAGTATAGAGGCTTCTTCTCTCCCAGCAAAGTCAGCCTAATTCAGTGGTTCTCAACCTGTGGGTCCCCAGGTGTGTTGGCCTACAACTCCCAGAAATCCCAGCCAGTTTACCAGATGTTAGGATTTCTGGGAGTTGAAGGCCAACACATCTGGGGACCCACAGGGTGAGATCCACTGGCCTAATTGTTTGCTGCCATTGGGAAGGGGAGGGTGATGGACAGCTGCCCTTCTTCTGCTGGAGAGCGCGTCTTGTCCTTTGCCTGTTGTCCTGCATTCGCTCCGGCATGCACTTCGCTGGGCAGGCTGTCCTGGGCTAAGGGTAGGGGAGGCTCTCGACCTCGCTTGCTTGCGGGGCATAGCCGCACGAGCTACGGAGATCGGGCGCAGGCCCACGCCCATGCTACCATAAGGACCTGCTCGGGAGACGTCCCATCTGGCGGCTGGATCAGGAGCGCCTGCTCTGGCGCTACTGATCCTCAGACTCCGCCTGCAGATAGCCCGTGGCAGATGGGCCAGGGAGGAGAGGGGTGGCGGTGAGGCGGAGTAGGGTGATCGGGTCGGCCGTCTCGAGTCAGGTGTGGGGGCCTTCTCAGAGTGGGTGATGCCCAAGAGAAGGGTGGCCTCTCTGGGTGAGGGGCGTCCTAACCTGGAACCGGCAGGGGGAGGTGTGCTAGGGCGGGGGACTTGCTGGGGTGAAGGGGTCCTCATGTGTCCGTTCCAAGTGTCGGTAGGGACAATGGGTCCTTGCCCTTCCGGAGGTCGCAGGGCAAGCTGCCCTCCCACAGAGCGTCGCTCGGACCAAGGCCAAGCCCCCTCCCACCGGCCCGGACGGCACCCACAGCGAGACCCCGGGCGTGACGGTGGAGACCCTGCACTGCGTCCAGACCGACACCAGCCCGGACGCCCTGCAGAAGGCCGTCTGCTTCAGCAGCGACCACTCGCTCCTGGCCACCGGCGGCGTGGATGGGTTCCTGCGCGTCTGGGAGGTATGGGCTGGGGGGGTGGGGTGGGGGGGCTAAGCTGAATGTGGGGGGTAAAGTGGGTGGCGGAGGGGTGTATGCCTGAGACTCGTGATTGCTGTAGGGCGATGGTAGTGTGGACGATGCCTAGCATCGCTTCCTTCTCTCTCCCGTTTCCCGCAGTTTCCCAGCATGAAGAAGGCCCTTGAGTTCCAGGCCCACGACGGGGAGATCGAGGACATCGCCCTCAGCCCCGATAACAAGGTAAGGGGCACCTGGGGAAATCGGCAGAGGGGTTGGCCCGGCATCGAGAGAAAATGGTGCCTGGCTGGCTTCTAAGGGTGGGCAGGGCCAAAGGTTTTAGGGACATTCCCCCCAAATAGCAGAGTATTTAGTGGGGCATTCAGCTCACCGCAGCTCAGGAAAGCAGTCTAGTATGGCTGCCAAGAATTCTTGAGCTTCAGGAAGAAGCGAGGTGCAGAGTTCAATCTGAAATGTTGCAAAGAGGTTTATTAAAGCATAAGAACTGAATTCCTGGATAGAAAGGGGTTGGGTCAAAGCCAGGCGTGGGCAAACCTGAGCCGTCCGGGTGTTTTGGATTTCAACTCCCACAATTCCTAACAGGGGAAGCCTTTGCCTTTGTCTGTGAATTTCTGTCTCAAGGCATTGACTGTTTGTCTGTGTTTGTGTGTCTGTGTGTGTGTGTGTGTGTCTGTCTGTCTGTCTGTGTGTGCCTGCATGCTGTAATCCACTTTGAGTCCCCTTGGGGATATAGGATCAAATATAAATAAAGTATTATTATTATTACAGTTCAAAAACATGCAAATCTGAGTGGATCAATAGGTACCACCTCAGCAGGAAAAGGCAAAAGATGCTCCATGGAGTCATGCCGGGCACAAGACTAGGAGGTGTCTATGGACAAAACAGGCTCCTTGGCTTAGAAATAGAGATGAACGGCTCCCCCAGAGCAGGAGATGAGCACCGCCTTAAGAAGCCAGATATGAAAGGAGAAGCCTTTGCCTTTGTCTGTGAATTTTTGTCTCGCTGTATCAAGGCATTGAATGTTTGCCTGTGTTTGTGTGTGTGTGTGTGTGCATGCCGTAATCTGCTTCGAGTCCCCTCAGGGATATTGGATAAAATATAAATATATTATTATTATTATTATTATTATTATTATTATTATTATTATTACTATTACTATTACTATTATTACAGTTCAAAAACATGCAAATCTGAGTGGATCAATAGGTACCACCTCAGCAGGAAAAGGCAAAAGATGCTCCATGGAGTCATGCCGGGCACATGACCAGGAGGTGTCTATGGACAAAACAGGCTCCTTGGCTTGGAAATAGAGATTACGCTTCCTCCAGAGCGGGAGATGAGCACCGCCTTCAGAAGCCAGATATGAAAGGAGAAGCCTTTGCCTTTGTCTGTGAATTTCTGTCTCGCTGTATCAAGGCATTGAATGTTTGCCTGTGTTTGTGTGTGTGTGTGTGTGTGTGTGCATGCCGTAATCTGCTTCGAGTCCCCTCAGGGATATTGGATAAAATATAAATATATTATTATTATTATTATTATTATTATTATTATTATTATTTATTACTATTACTATTACTATTATTACAGTTCAAAAACATGCAAATCTGAGTGGATCAATAGGTACCACCTCAGCAGGAAAAGGCAAAAGATGCTCCATGGAGTCATGCCGGGCACATGACCAGGAGGTGTCTATGGACAAAACAGGCTCCTTGGCTTGGAAATAGAGATGAACGGCCTTCCCCCAGAGCGGGAGATGAGCACCGCCTTCAGAAGCCAGATATGAAAGGAAAAGCCTTTGCCTTTGTCTGTGAATTTCTGTCTCGCTGTATCAAGGCATTGAATGTTTGCCTGTGTTTGTGTGTGTGTGTGTGTGTGTGTGCATGCCGTAATCTGCTTCGAGTCCCCTCAGGGATATTGGATAAAATATAAATATATTATTATTATTATTATTATTATTATTATTATTATTATTATTATTATTACTATTATTACAGTTCAAAAACATGCAAATCTGAGTGGATCAATAGGTACCACCTCAGCAGGAAAAGGCAAAAGATGCTCCATGCAGTCATGCTGGGCACATGACCAGGAGGTGTCTATGGACAAAACAGGCTCCTTGGCTTGGAAATAGAGATGAACGGCTCCCCCAGAGCAGGAGATGAGCACCGTCTTAAGAAGCCAGATATGAAAGGAAAAGCCTTTGCCTTTGTCTGTGAATTTCTGTCTCAGTGTATCAAGGCATTGAATGTTTGTCTGTTTTTGTTTTTGTCTGTCTGTGTGTGTGTGTGTGTGTGTGTGTGTGTGTATAATAATAATAATATTTATTTATTTGATTAATGGTCTGGAGAACAAGCCCTATGAGGAGCGGCTTAGGGAACTGGGCATGTTTAGCCTGAAGAAGAGAAGGCCGAGAGGAGATATGGTAGCCATGTATAAATATGTGAGAGGAAGCCACAGGGAGGAGGAGGGAGCAAGCTTGTTTTCTGCTTCCTTGGAGATTAGGACGCAAGGGAACAATGGCTTCAAACTACAAGAGAGGAGATTCCATCTGAACATGAGGAAGAACTTCCTGACTGTGAGAGCCGTTCAGCAGTGGAACTCTCTGCCCCGGAGTGTGGTGGAGGCTCCTTCTTTGGAAGCTTTAAAGCAGAGGCTGGATGGCCATCTGTCAGGGGTGATTTGAATGCAATATTCCTGCTTCTTGGCAGAATGGGGTTGGACTGGATGATGGCCCAGGAGGTCTCTTCCCACTCTAGGATTCTATGATTCTATGATCAGTCATATGACCATTTCAAAATAAAACACGAGTAAAAAACAAGGCAACAAGGTGATAAGTCAGAATCTTATTTTCCTGGTTCTTCTTTCAGGAAGCCTGCTCTTTTCTTGTGTGTGTGTGTGTGTGTATGCTGTAATCTGCTTTGAGTCCCCTCGGGGATATAGGATGGGATGTAAATAAAGTGTTGTTATTGTTATTATTGTTATTGTTGTTGTTCCTGAGTGCTGCCCTTTGACCCCTCCACAGGTGGTGACGGTGGGGCGGGACTTCCGGTGCTGCGTGTGGCAGCGGGACCAGATGGTGACGGGGCTGCTCTGGAACGAGAACCTGCCGGGCATCCCGGACAAGGCCTACCGCTACCAGGCTTGCAGGTAGTTGGTGGGGCTGGCGGTGGTCCCGGGGTGGGCGGGGAGCGGGGTCGGGTGTGTCATGCCCCGCTGACCCCTTGTTCCCCCGGACGCAGGTTTGGGGCGGTGGAGGACCAAGGGCAGGCCCTGCGTCTGTACACGGTGCAGATCCCCCACAAGCGGGAGCGCCGCCCGCCCCCCTGCTACCTCACCAAGTGGGACGGGCACAGCTTCCTGCCCCTGCTCACCCGGCCCTGCGGCAACGAGGTCGTCTCCTGCCTCTCCGTCAGGTAAGGCCCGCCTCCCAAGAGGCTCCTCTCGTCCTGAAACAGTCTTCCTATTCCCTCCACCCATCACCCACACCGCATACTACTTCTATATCGGGCCTGGGCAAGCTTGGGCCCTCCCTCCAAGTGTTTTGGACTCCAACTCCCACAATTCCTAACAGCATTTATATTCCACCCTTCCCACCCCAACGGGGACTCAGGGTGGATCACAGAACATACACCCAGCAAACATTCAACGCCATTAGACAAACAGGTAGAGGTATTTTTTTTACCAACTTCGGCATCCTGGTGGTTGTGCTCGATTCCGGCCACAGGGGGTGCTGTTGCTCCATCTCTATGATGGAGAGCCGTGATCACAGACTTCCTCCTCCTCTCTTTGATCGCAGGCATTTTCTGCCACTTCCCTTTTACGGCGCCATAAGACCCCTCCCCGCTTAAGCGGTGCCTAATTTCAGTACTCATGGCTGTTTTAGAACCACTTTTTCCGTCAGCCCACTTTGGTTGGGATTCAATGTTTACTTTTAAGCTCTTTCTTGAATTTATATTTGAATTATTGTACGTTTATTTCTAAGCTTTTCTATTGTATTTCTATTTGAATTTGAATTGTTATTGTATTTATATTTGAATTATTATCACATGTTTATTATTGTATGTTTCAATTGATATGTTAATTGTTTAAATTCATATGTTATGATTTAGTTGATAGCTGCATGTTATTGTTTTCTGTTAGGTTTTTATGTATTGGAGGCATTGAATTTTATATGTTGGAAACTACTTTGAGTCATTCCCCCCCCCCCCCCCCCGGGTGGGAAAAGCAGTATACAAATGAATTTAGTAAATATGTATGTATTTATTTATTTATTTACTATATTTATATACTGCCCCTCTCAGCCGACTTGGAGCAGTTGGATAGTATTATTAAAGTGTTGAGCTGCTGAACTTGCTGACCAGAAGGTTGGCAGTTCGGATCTGCAGGACGGGGTGAGCTCCTGCTGTTAACCCAGCTCCTGCCAACCTAGCAGTTCAACAGGGTTTCTCAAGTCGCTCCTGACACGACCAAAAAAAAAAGTTCAACGGGGTGAGCTCCTGCTGTTAGCCCAGCTCTTGCCAACCTAGCATGTTTGAAAACATGCAAAATGTGAGTAGATCAATAGGTGTCACCTCAGCGGGAAGGCAAACAGGCACTCCATACAGTCATGCTGGCCACACGACCAGGTGTCGTCTATGGACAACGCAGGCTCTTTGGCTTGGAAATGGAGATGAGGAAATGCAAATGAGTGCCTCCCCCAGAGTTAGAGACGAGAAAGGGCAAGCCTTTGCCTTTGCCTTTCATTGTATCAAGGCATTGGATGTTTGCCTGTGTGTGTTTATAGACTGTAATCCGCTCTGAGTCCGCTTGGGGAGAAGGACGGACTATAATGTTGCTACTAGGGGTTTACAACAGGCTTTTTCTAAGTAACAGCGAGGATCAGAACCTTTTCTGTTACAGTTGCCACAAGTTAATTGGATGTGTTATCAGTTCCTGCATATAACAAGGCACTAAATTTGCCAGCTTGGAGCTTTGCATTTTGGCTTAGCTTGAGGTCTCGTTTTGGCTGTTGCTGGGAGAGGTTATGCAGCGTCCTGAAGCTGATGATTGAATCCGTTTGGAGTGCCAAGGAAACTGCTTGTTTACGCGCCCCAGAGAAATTAGGCAAGCCCCCACCCTGGCAGTCTTCAGGAAGAGCCTGAAAACTTGGCTGTTCCAGTGTGCCTTCAATGAATGAATGAACAATAATCCCTGACCTGACCAAACCCTGCATAAAATGCCTTCGGAAGCACTTTATTTTACCTGTTAGTGCGATTAAACTCTATTTCATCCCTCGGATCCCCTGTCCAGATACATTACATTGCTCTCTCACCCAGTGTTTTTGAACTTATGATTTCTGCAACCGGCTCTGCCCACTGTGATCAACTTTCTGTGTTCAAATATTGTGATTTTATATTGTTCTGATGTGTTTATTGATACTGTTTCTTGTATTTTATCTTATTTTCTTATGTTTCATGGTTGTATTTTTATGTTGTATATTTGCATTGTTGTATTGCTGGGCTTGGCCTTATGCAAGCCGCCCCGAGTCCCCTTAGGGAGATGGTGGTGGGGTATAAATAAAGTATTATTATTATTATTATTTGGAACACAACAAGATGAGCCCACAGCAGACACTCTTCTGGCTGTTGTACTGGATCACACGACAGACACTTCCCAAATGTCTAGGACTGTGTGATGTATCGGCGAATAATGCGTGCAGACCCCAGTAAGGTGGCCTTTTGCAGCTGGAAGATGGTAATTTTGTTAGCGCCGATTGTGCTTAAGTGCAGGCCAGGGTCTTGAGGCACTGCACCCAGTGTGCCAATCACCACTGGGACCACGTTTATTGTCTTTGCAGTTCAATCTTTCAATCCTTGTATCGTGTCAGCTTTTCCAGTTGTTTCTCTGCAATCCTGCTGTCACCTGGGATTGCAACACTGACGATCCAAACTTTGTTTTTCAACACGATTGTGAGGTCAGGAGTGTTGTGCTCCAAAACTCTGTCTGTCTGAATCCGGAAGTCCCAGAGGAGTTTGGGGTGTTCATTCTCTGTAACTCTTTCCGGCTTGTGATCCCATCCATTCTTTGTGGCAGGCAGGTGGTCTTTGTGGCACACGTTCCAATGAATCATCTGAGCAAGGGTGTCATGCCTCTGCTTGTAGTCTGTCTGTCTGCGCGATCTTCTTGCAGCAGCTGAAGATGGGATCTCTTGTTTCATCTGCTTCCTTGCAGAATCTACATTTGGCATCTGTTGTCGACTTTTCAATTCTGGCTTTGATGGCCTTGGTTCGAATGGCTTGTTCTTAGGTTGCCAGAATTATTATTATCTATATATATAAATTTGTTAGGGGCATCCAACGAGGAAACAAAACTCAAAAACCCCCCAACGAAACTTAACCAAAATTCCCATGCCCATAACACAACCCACAAGGTACAAACATATCTACTCAAAATGAAAAACAACACAACACACTCACAAAACGGCAAAACAACAAAACTCAAAAATCCCCCAACGAAACTTAACCAAAATCCCCGTGCCCATAACACAACCCACAAGGTACAAACATATCTACTCAAAATGAAAAACAACACAACAGCACACTCACAAAACGGCAAAACAACAAAACTCAAAAATCCCCCAACGAAACTTAACCAAAATCCCCGTGCCCATAACACAACCCACAAGGTACAAACATATCTACTCAAAATGAAAAACAACACAACAACACACTCACAAAACGGCAAAACAACTGAGCATGCGCATTGGCGCCCAGCCGCAAGTTCCCTGGCGCGCGCACATGGCCTTCCGGCCAACGTTCCCTCTGCGGAAACCATGCCCACTCCAAGCCCCGCCGCGCCGCTTCCCGCACACACACACCCCCTGCCGCACACACACACAACCCCACGCTCCATCACTCCCCCCGCCGCCGCACACACACACGCAACCCCACTCCCCCCGCCGCCACACACACACACGCAACCCCACGCTCCATCACTCCCCCCACCGCCGCACACACACACGCAACCCCACTCCCCCGCCGCCGCACACACACACGCAACCCCACGCTCCATCACTCCCCCCGCCGCCGCACACACACACGCAACCCCACGCTCCATCACTCCCCTGCCCCAATCTTACCTCCTTTTACTTCAGGCCACCTCCAAACCCCACCCCCCCTTCCCGCCCTGTCAAAATCTAGGAAAGACAGGAAGGAAGGAAAGAAGGAAGAAAGAGAAAGGGAGGTAAAGAAAAAGGGGAAGGAAGGAAAGTTAGAGAAAGAAGGAAGAAGAAAAGGAAAGATGGAAGGAAAGAAAAGAGAGACAGCAGAGAAAGAAAAAGGAGGGAGAAAGAGGTAGAGAAAGAAGAGGAGAAGGAAAGATGGGAGGAAGGAAGGAAGGAAGGAAGGAAGGAAGGAAGGAAGGAAGGAAGGAGGGAGGGAGGGAGGGAGGGAGGGAGGGAAGAAGGAGGGAAAGAGGGAAGATTGGCCACAGCAACACGTGGCGGGTAAAGGTTGTTATTTCTATTATTATTATTATGCTATTGTTCCTATGAGACCCTTTTAGGGGGAATGGGAGAGGTGTCAGGTCCCAGAGGCAATGCATTGCATTATTGTTATTGTTATGATGGTGGTGAAATAAAAGGAAATAAAAAGTGAAAGAAGGAAGCAAACAGGGAGGGAAGAAAGGCAAAGGAAGAAAGGGGGAGGGAATGAAGGAAAGAGAGAAGGATGAAACCAAGTAGTGAAAGAAAGAAAGAGATAGAGAAGGAAGAAAGGAGAGAAAGGGGAAGGAAAAGGGGGAAGGAATAGGTAGGTACCTCTCTTTCATAATAGTCCAGATATCTACCTCAACTTTGATAAGTTTTACTATAGGCCACAGCAACGCGTGGCAGGGCACAGCTAGTTATTATTATTATTATTAATAATACTCTACTGATAACTAAGTAGAGAGACTGTATTATTTTGCTATGTTTTTGCATATCGTCGTGTAAAGAAGAAGACTCACTGGACATATGGTTTGTTGTATATTGGCGAGAACAATTCTTCTGTTTTGCTTTGTGTTTTTGATCTGCAGTGAATAGAACTATATTTTTGTTTCTATTTAAAGCAACAGACTCATGTGTATTTTTGAGTTTTTATCACACTGAGAGTAGAAGGGGCTGAGACATTCTGCGGGCTACTAACGCTTACTCTGACATATAAATAAAGAGTTATTATAATAATAATATTATTATTATTATTATTATTTATTATTATTATTATTATTATTTTCCCTTGGCAGCGACACAGGCACATTCCTGGGGCTGGGCACCGTCACGGGTTCGGTGGCCATCTTTGTCGCCTTCTCCTTGCAGGTAGGAGTTTTCCCCTCACCTTTATTCAGGACGTATTGGGCCAGGTGGGGTTGGGTGGAAAGAGTTGCTGCTCCCATGTGGTTTCCATTTTATGTTGACCCTCCCTCCAGGTGTTTTGGACTGCAACTCCCACCATTCCTCACAGCCTCAGGCCCTTTCCTTTCCCCCTCAGCCGCTTAACGGCTGAGGGGGGAAAAGAAGGAGCCTGAGGCTGTGAGGAATGGTGGGAGTTGCAGTCCAAAACACCTGGAGGGTTGAAATTTGCGCATTCAGCCCTTGACTGAATTGTGGCGCAGCTGGCTGAGTGTCAGCTGCATTAAGATCACTCTGACCAAAAGGTCATGAGTTCAAAGCCAGCCCGGGTTGGAGTGGGTTTCCAACCAATTGTGTGTAGCCTGTTGTCGACCTTTGCAACCCGAAAGACAGTTGCATCTGTCAAGTAGGAAAATTAGGTACCACCTTAAAGTGTGGGGAGGCTAAATTAACTGATTTATGAGGCCATAAAGAAGACTCCAGCAAAGCATTCCAGTGGGGAAGCATGTGGGGAATGCGGAAGTGCTTCATCAGTGGGGAAGCATGCGGGGAATGCGGAAGTACTTCATCAGCGGGGAAGCATGCGGGGAATGCGGAAGTTCTTTATCAGCGGGGAATGCGCAAGTGCTTGATCAGCGGGAAAGCATGCGGGGAATGCGGAAGTACTTCATCAGCGGGGAAGCACGCGGGGAATGCAGAAGTGCTTCATCAGCGGGGAAGCATGCGGGGAATGCGGAAGTGCTTCATCAGCGGGGAAGCATGCGGGGAATGCGGAAGTGCTTCATCAGCGGGGAAGCACGCGGGGAATGCGGAAGTGCTTCATCAGCGGGGAAGCATGCAGGGAATGCGGAAGTGCTTCATCAGCGGGGAAGCACGCGGGGAATGCGGAAGTGCTTCATCAGCGGGGAAGCATGCGGGGAATGCGGAAGTGCTTCATCAGCGGGGAAGCATGCGGGGAATGCGGAAGTGCTTCATCAGCGGGGAAGCATGCGGGGAATGCGGAAGTGCTTCATCAGCGGGGAAGCATGCGGGGAATGCGGAAGTGCTTGATCAGAGGGGAAGCATGCGGGGAATGCGGAAGTGCTTCATCAGCGGGGAAGCATGCGGGGAATGCGGAAGTGCTTCATCAGCGGGGAAGCATGCGGGGAATGCGGAAGTGCTTCATCAGCGGGGAAGCATGCGGGGAATGCGGAAGTGCTTCATCAGCGGGGAAGCACGCGGGGAATGCGGAAGTGCTTCATCAGCAGGGAAGCACGCGGGGAAGGGCGGAAGAGAAAAGCTGTAAATAAATAATAATAAATAAATGGACATGCCTCTCCTCCCGACAGAGACTGTATTATGTCCGGGAGGCGCATGGGATCGTGGTGACCGCCGTGGCCTTCCTGCCCGAGACCCCGGAGTTGCGGAAGGAGAACGAGGCCGCCCTGCTGAGCGTCGCCGTGGACAGCCGCTGCCACGTGCACCGCATCCCTTGCCGACGTAGGTCCTGTGGGGGGAGACCGGGGCGCCCCTTTGGAGCAGGACTTGCGCCTGACCCACCTCCCTCTCTCCTTCCCCCTCTCTCTCATTCTCTCTCTCTCTCCTTCCAGGGAGCTTCCCCGTCTGGCTGCTGCTGCTCCTCTGCGCCGGCCTGATTGTGGCCGCGGTGGTCCTCCTGCAGCTGGCCTTCCCAGGGTTCCTGTGACGACAACTCCTCCTCCTCCTCCTCCTTTGTATGAGCCATGGACCTTGGTACGGACCCATGGGAGGCCAAAGAGGCCGACCAAGACTGGCCTGAGCAGCGGACAGTGGGCCGAGGGTCAAGTCCTGCTCTTCAGAAGGCAGAGAGACAGCCTTTCCGCCCATTCTGTGTTGACTGGCCGTAGGGATTATTCCAGACTCGGCTGTACTTGGCAGGCAACAAGGAGGCCTGTTCCGGACCATGAAGACAGTGGTGGGCTCGGAGCCCATGATTAAACAGGATGATGGAGCAAAGCCTCCTCCTTCTGGTCTGCCTTCGGGTCCCTCTTAGGCCTTCACGCTCCACCTGGGTGAAGGTGAGCCTGGTTCCCTGGATGAGGGGAGGGTGGAGTGTCCACCTAGGCTTTCACACTCAACCTGGGTGAAGATGAGCCTGGTTCCCTGGACGAGGGGAGGGTGGAGTGTCCACTTATGCCTTCACACTCAACCTGGGTAAAGACAAGCCCGGTTCCCTGCACAAAGAGTGGGTGGAATGACCACCTACGCTTTCACACTCAACCTGGGTGAAGATGAGCCCGGTTACCCGGACAAAGAGAGGGTGGAATGTCCACCTAGGCTTTCACACTCAACCTGGGTGAAGATGAGCCTGGTTCCCTGGACAAGGGGAGGGTGGAATATCCACTTAGGCCTTCACACTCAACCTGGGGGAAGACAAGCCTGGTTCCCTGGATGGGGGGAGGGTGGAGTGTCCACCTAGGCTTTCACACTCAACTTGGGTGAGGATGAGCCTGGTTCCCTGGACGAGGGGAGGGTGGAGTGTCCACTTATGCCTTCACACTCAACCTGGGTAAAGACAAGCCCGGTTCCCTGCACAAAGAGTGGGTGGAATGACCACCTACGCTTTCACACTCAACCTGGGTGAAGATGAGCCCGGTTACCCGGACAAAGAGAGGGTGGAATGTCCACCTAGGCTTTCACACTCAACCTGGGTGAAGATGAGCCTGGTTCCCTGGACAAGGGGAGGGTGGAATATCCACTTAGGCCTTCACGCTCCACCTGGGGGAAGACGAGCCTGGTTCCCTGGATGGGGGGAGGGTGGAGTGTCCACCTAGGCTTTCACACTCAACTTGGGTGAGGATGAGCCTGGTTCCCTGGACGAGGGGAGGGTGGAGTGTCCACTTATGCCTTCACACTCAACCTGGGTAAAGACAAGCCCGGTTCCCTGGACAAAGAGAGGGTGGAATGACCACCTACGCTTTCACACTCAACCTGGGTGAAGATGAGCCCGGTTACCCGGACAAAGAGAGGGTGGAGTGTCCAGTTAGGCCTTCACACTTAACCTGGGTGAAGACGAGCTCGGTTTCCCAGACAAGGCAAGGGTGGAGTGTCCACTTACACCTTCCACTCAATCTGGGTGAACACAAGCCCAGTTCCCCAGACAAGGCAAGAGTGGAGTGTCCACTTAGGCCTTCACACTTTAACCTGGGTGAAGATAAGCCTGGTTCTCCAGACAAGGCAAGGGTGGAGTGTCCACTTCCACCTTCCACTCAACCTGAGTGAAGACAAACCCAGTTACCCAGATAAGGTGAGGGTGAGGTGTCCACTTACACCTTCACACTCAACCTGGGTTAAATCAAGCCCAGTTCCCTAGACAAGGCAAGAGTGGAGTGTCCACTTAGGCCTTCAGGCTCAACCTGGTTGAAGACAAGCCCAGTTCCCCAGACAAGGTGAGGGTGGAGTGCCCACAGCATCCTGGTCATAGAATCCTAGAGTTGGAACTTCCAACTTATTATTACCATTACTATTATTTGCAGAGGCTGGATTGCTATCTGTTGGGAAGGCTTGTACGGTGTCTTCTGGTTTGACAGAAGGGAGTTAGACTGGATGACCCTGGGGGGTGGGGGGTGGGGTTCTCCCAACTATTATTGTTATCATCAGAGGCTGAACGGCCATCTGTAGGGACAGCTTCGATGGCATTTTTTTTACCTGGCAGAAGGGAGTTGGACTGGATGACTCTTGAGGGTCTCTCCCAATTATTATTGTTGCCATCAGAGGCTGGATGGCCATCTACAGGGAGGACTTTAATGGCGTTTTCCTACCTGGAAGAAAAGGGTTGGACTGGATGGCCCCAAGTTTGGGGGGGGGGGGGGTTCTCTTCCAAGTCATTATTATTATTACCATTATTATTATTTGCAGAGGCCGGATGGTCATCTGTGGGGAGGGCTTGTAGGGTGCCTTTCTGCCTTGCAGAAAGAAGGGGGTTGGACTGGATGGCCTTTGGGGGTCCCTTCCAGATGTAACGAGATCTAAATGGCCCGGGAGTCTCCTTCTCTACAGGTTTGTAAGTCGAGGCTGGATGGCCATCTGTTGGAATGGCTTGTATGGTGTCTTTCTGCCTGGCAAAAGGGGGGAGGATTGGACTGGATGGCCTTTAGGGGGCCCCTTCCAAGTCTAATGAGATCTAGATGGCCTGGGACTCTCCTTCTCTAGAGGTTTGTAAGCAGGGCTAGATGGCCATCTGTTGGGAGGGCTTCTATGGTGTCTTTCTGCCTGGCAAAAGGGGGGAGGATTGGACTGGATGGCCTTTGGGGGTCCCTTCCAAATCTAACGAGATCTAAATGGCCCGGGAGTCTCCTTCTCTACAGGTTTGTAAGTCGAGGCTGGATGGCCATCTGTTGGAATGGCTTGTATGGTGTCTTTCTGCCTGGCAAAAGGGGGGAGGATTGGACTGGATGGCCTTTAGGGGGCCCCTTCCAAGTCTAATGAGATCTAGATGGCCTGGGACTCTCCTTCTCTAGAGGTTTGTAAGCAGGGCTAGATGGCCATCTGTTGGGAGGGCTTCTATGGTGTCTTTCTGCCTGGCAAAAGGGGGGAGGATTGGACTGGATGGCCTTTGGGGGTCCCTTCCAAATCTAACGAGATCTAAATGGCCCGGGAGTCTCCTTCTCTACAGGTTTGTAAGTCGAGGCTGGATGGCCATCTGTTGGAATGGCTTGTATGGTGTCTTTCTGCCTGGCAAAAGGGGGGAGGATTGGACTGGATGGCCTTTAGGGGGCCCCTTCCAAGTCTAATGAGATCTAGATGGCCTGGGACTCTCCTTCTCTAGAGGTTTGTAAGCAGAGGCTGGATGGTCATCTGTTGGGAGGGCTTCTATGGTGTCTTCCTGCCTGGGAGAAACAGGGGGAGGGTTGGACTGGATGGCCTTTGGGGTCCCTTCCAAATGTAACGAGATCTAAATGGCCAGGGACTCTCCTTCTCTAGAGGTTTGTAAGCAGAGGCTGGATGGTCATCTGTTGGGAGGGCTTCTATGGTGTCTTCCTGCCTGGGAGAAACGGGGAGGGTTGGACTGGATGGCCTTTGGGGTCCCTTCCAAATGTAACGAGATCTAAATGGCCAGGGAGTCTCCTTCTCTACAGGTTTGTAAGCAGCGACTGTATGGCCATCTGTTGGGAGGGCTTGTATGGTGTTTGGCAGAAAGGGGGGGGGGGTTGGACTGGACGGCCTTTGGACAGGGGCGGCTGAAGCAATAGGCAAGATACGCATTTGCATACAGCGCAAATCCCCAAGGGGCGCTCTGAGGCACCCCCGCACACACACAGCAGGTTTTATTTTTCAGTGATTGGGGTTTTTCTTTGGGGGGGGGCACACCAAAATACTGTTTGCTTACACTTGAAAATTATCTAGGGCCGGCCCTACCTTTGGGGGTCCCTTCCAAGCCTAACAAGATCTAGATGGCCTGGGAGTCTCCTTCTCTAAAGATTTGTAAGCAGCAGCTGGATGACCATCTGTTGGGAGGGCTTGTATGGTGTCTTCCTGCTTGGACTGGATGGCCTTTGGGGGTCCCTTCCAAGTCTAATGAGATCTAGATGGCCTGGGAGTCTCCTTCTCTAAAGATTTGTAAGCAGCAGCTGGATGACCATCTGTTGGGAGGGCTTGTATGGTGTCTTCCTGCTTGGACTGGATGGCCTTTGGGGGTCCCTTCCAAACCTGACCCTATGATGATGGGAGTGTTCCTTGCAGAGAGGGAGGGGCACAGCCTGGGCAGAAGAAGAACCCCAAACGGAGAGGGCAGGGGGCATCTTTGGCCCCTTCCAGACTGCTCCTATCTATCTATCTCCCAGGAACTAATCATCCTAGATTACCTTCTTATCACAGACTATCTGGCAGTGGAGACTAATATAACACGCCCGATCTCGTCTGATCTCAGAAGCTAAGCAGGGTCGGGCCTGGTTAGTACTTGGATGGGAGACCGCCTGGGAATACTGGGTGCTGTAGGCTTAAAAGATAATCTGGGATCAGATTCTGGGATACGTAGGGCAGTGTGGAAGGGGGCTTAGGCTCTGTTTGTGCCCGAAAGAGAACGGCTTTGCACGACGGAATTGGGAAAACAGCCCTGTATTCTGATCCAACGTAAAGGCACGTCAAGGTGAGACTCCTGGCTCTTCTTCCCGCAAAAGAGACGGCAAAGTACAAGGGTGGGGTGGTGGTGGGGGTCCTCATAGGGCCACCAGAGGCACAGAAGTGGCCCCGGTCCCTTCCTGGGGGGTCTCCTCTCCCCGGGACCCTTCCTCTCCTTTGGTCACGGCCTGCGTGGCTTGGGCCAGCTCCTGCAGGTTCCCGAAGACGGCGGCCACGAACTGGGCGAAGACGCGGTCCATGTAGCTCTGGTGCCGCGGGAAGAGCCCCTCCAGGAAGCCGATGTGGCCCCCCCTGGACGTCACCAGCAGAGCCACCGCCGGGCTCTCCTGCGCGGCCTCCGTGGGCAGCGCTGCAAGAGAAGGGCCAAAGAAGAGCGGTCAGAGAATCCTAGAATCAAAGAGTCGGAAGAGACCTCCTGGGCCATCCAGTCCAACCCCATTCTGCCAAGAAGCAGGAATATTGCATTCAAATCACCCCTGACAGATGGCCATCCAGCCTCTGCTTAAAAGCTTCCAAGGAAGGAGCCTCCACCACACACACTCCGGGGCAGAGAGTTCCACTGCTGAACATAGAATCACAGAGTTGGAAGAGACCTCATGGGCCATCCAGTCCAACCCCATTCTGCCAAGAAGCAGGAAAATTGCATTCAAACCACCCCCCACAGATGGCCATCCAGCCTCTGCTTAAAAGCTTCCAAAGAAGGAGCCTCCACCACACACACTCCGGGGCAGAGAGTTCCACTGCTGAACGGCTCTCACAGTCAGGAAGTTCTTCCTCATGTTCAGATGGTCAGGTCCAGCATGGTCACTCACACACACACACACACACACACACACACCCCCGGTATCCAAAGGGACCCACCGTGGTGTGGGGAGAAGGGGTCGTCGGAGGCGTTGAGGCACAGGACCGGCACCCGGATGCCCCCCACCCGGCGGAAAGGGCTGGAGGAGTGGTAGTAGGCCTCGCAGGACGGGTACCCAAAGGCTACGGCCGTGTAGCGTTCGTCGAATTCGCGGATACTGCGGGCCTTTGGCGGAGGAAGAGAGAAACACAGGGAGCATCAGCTTAACTCAGGCATGGGCCAACTTCAGTTCTCCCTCCAGGTGTTTTGGACTCCAACTCCCACCATTCCTCACAGCCTCAGGCCCTTTCCTTTCCCCCCTCAGCCGCTGAAGGTGGGAAGAACCAGATGTGGCAAGGCAAGGTGCGCGAACTAGCGGAGAGGGTCAAGGAGACCATGTGGGTCAAGGAGGAATTCTTGGATGGAGCGTGTCCATCCCTTTCTCACGGCAGCCATGAATGGGGACAAAATTCCAACTGCCTGGGTTATGAATGAGAGGGACATTACTGTGCTATGGCATTGTCCAAACCTTCAGCACACTGTCCACGTCCAGCAGGCCTTCGATGACCTTCCTGTGCCTGGGAAAGGGGAGAGAAGCCAATAAGAGAAGGGGCCAGAAAGGCCAGCTAGCCCAACCCCCTCCCGCCAGGAAGGAAGGAAGGGAGAACGAAGGGGCTGCTCTGAGATGGCCGTCTGTTGGGATGGCCTGGCGGAAGGGGGTTGGGATGGAGGGGTTGGGATGCCCACTCCCCCCCCCCCCCAGACCCACTTCTGGATGAGGCCGCGCAGGTTGGCGGTGAGGCGCCGGTTGAAGAGGAGGCGGTTGAGGGGCTGCTCCAGGGAGGCGGTGGTCTCCAGGGCGTCCCAGCTGGCCGAGCAGGTCATGGCCGCCACCAGGCCCGCCTCCGACCCCCTCCGGCCCAGGAAGTTCAGCACCAGGATCCTAGGAAGGAAGGAAGGAAGGAATGGGGGCTCAATGCTGGGGAGGGGGCACTGCTGGACACACACAGGCATAGGACTAGACCCCCCACAACATGCTGCCCCTCCGAGTTCTCCAAGGCCCCATCTACACTCTGTTATATGGTCAGTGGAGACTCCTCTCATGCTGTTGAACTGCACAGTAAGGAGGGCAGGGGGACAGCCCCCCCCCCCCAAGCTATAGAGAGGAGAGACCCATAAACCCTGAGTCCTCAAGTTGATCCTCTGACTCCCAGAAGGCCCTGCCAAGGACTAGGAATTCTGGGGGGGGGGGGGGGGGGGGGGTTAGTACAAAAAAGGATGGAAGTTTGGGAAACAGGGTAAGAGCAGCAAGTTGGGGTGAAGAAGCCCTCCACCCTTATTGAGCCTATATACATATACACACTTACTCATGCACACATACACATGCACACATGCCCATATACACATGCACATACACCTGCACACATGCATATAAATATATGCACATGCGCACATGCTCATATACACATCCACATGTGCACAGGCACGCACATGCACATATACATGCACACATGCCCATGCACATGCATACATGTCCATATACACATGCACACATGCCCATACACATGCACACATGCCCATATACACATGCACACACATGCATATATACATGCACACATGCATATAAACACATGCACGCACATGCCCATATACACATGTACATGTGCACATGCCCATGCACATGCACAGATGCCCATATACACATGCACACATGCCCATATACACATGCACACACACATGCACATATATATGCACACATGCCCATGCACATGCATACATGTCCATATACACATGCACACATGCCCATACACATGCACACATGCCCATATACACATGCACACACATGCATATATACATGCACACATGCATATAAACACATGCACACACATGCCCATATACACATGTACATGTGCACATGCACATGCACACATGCCCATATACACATGCACACACACATGCACATATATATCCACACATGCATATAAACACATGCACGCACATGCATGCACACATGCCCATATGCACATACACATGTGCACATGCACACCTTCCCATATACACATGCACACATGCATATGCACGCATGCCCATGTGCACACATATGCACATGCACATATACGCATACACATATACCAAACACATTTACACATCTGAATACACATCTACTCACGTATACACATCTATGCATACAAATATATCAATAGACATATACACATATACACAGGGCCGTTACATATCCCCTAGACATGCCTTCCTTGGCCCCCCTGCAGCCTCAGGGCCCCTCCCCTCCCCCTTGACCCACTGCCCTCCCCCCCAACACGCCCCTTTCTGCCCCTCACCCTCCCAGGGAGATGCCCACGGCCATGAGGGGGGCTCTGGGGAAGCGGCCCTTGATGTGCGACACCACCAGCTCCAGGTCCTCCGTGTTGTCTGCGCAGAACGCCCGGGGGGTCTGCAGGGGAGGGGGAGGGAGAGATAAACACAGCAGGTATTCAATGGGGGAAAGAGGAGCCCCTCCCAGAGCAAGGCTGTTTCTCCCCCCCCACCCCCACCCCGCAGGAATCCCCCCAAATGCACACAGTCCCCTTTGGTGCCCCTTACCAGCAGCTCCTCTCCCTTGCAGCCCCGGTTATTGAAGACCACGGCCCTGCAGGGAAGAAAGGGCGGGGGGGGGGTCATCCGTCTGTGTGAGGAAGAAGACCTCCCAATATGAGCACCCAGGCCCTTCCCCAAGGGGCAAGGGATCCCCCACAACCTTCCCTTGCATGTGGGGGGCTCTCTGGGGCAAGGCAAGGGTGGGAATGGGCTGAGAACGCCAGCAGAAGGTTCAGGCCGAGGGTCTGGGGGGCTGGAGAGGAGGGGGACAGTCCTGGCTGGACACAACAGCAGAGTTTCAGAAAGAGGGGAGTGGGAGAAGCTTCAAGGGACAGGACTTGATGACCCAAAGAGAAGGGAGGCAGAGAGCAGGAAAGAAGAAAGGGAGGGAGAAAAAGGGGGACACAGATACTAAAAGACAAGGGAGTTACCGATGGATGGGAATTTCTCAAAAGTGAAATACTCAAGGCGCAATTGCAAAGAGAAAAAATAGGACAAGTGCAAACAAGCCAGAATGGATGTCCAAAGAACTTCTAACTGTGCTAAGACACAAAAGAGACATGCACAAGAAGTGGAAAAAGGGAGAAATCACCAAAGAAGAATTCAAACAAATAGCCAACACCTGTAGGGAAAAGGTCAAGAACAAGCCCTATGAGGAGCGGTTTAAGGAGCTGGGCATGTTTAGCCTGAAGAAGAGAAGAATGAGAGGAGATATGATAGCCATGTATAAATATGTGAGAGGAAGCCACAGGGAGGAGGAGGGAGCAAGCTTGTTTACTGCTTCCCTGGAGACTAGGATGCGAAACAATGGCTTCAAACTACAAGATTCTATGATTCTATGAAAGGCTGGAATGAAGATGGAGAAGTGGCAGAAGGGAGAAGGACAAAGGAACAGAGACGTGGGAGTGAAAGGAAAGGTGCGCACGCTTAGCAACCTCCACTATAGGAAAGGCGGAGTTGCATCTCAGTTGTGTGGTGCTGCTTTCCCTCTTGCACACCCAACAGCTTTGCTCTGGCCCAAACAAGCCTGTTGCATTGGATTTCCTCGCTTCTAGTGTCTGATTGCAAAAGAGACGATAAGGGTTGTGATCCTCACCGAGCCTCAACGGCAGGATCCTGACCTCATGAACCTTTGAGAGAAAGAAATCCCGGTGCCCAATTATGTCCTGTCTCTATTCCAATCAGGCACTAGAAACCAGGAGATGAAAATACAAGAGTTCAATCTGCAGAAAAGACTAAGGGGGGTGGGAGGGGGGTGCAAGGAAGTGCGGAGCACCACACCAGACGGATCGGTACAGTGGGTTTTATAGTGGAGCAGAGTCAGATTAGAGTAAACATACACATGCACAATAGTTTTACGCTTTGAATGTGTTTAAATGGATTTTAATTATGATTTTTAATATTTGTTGTTTTAATATTTGAAGATAAAGGTAAAGGTTTTCCCCTGATGTTTATCCAGTTGTGCCTGACTCAGGACTCATCTCCATTTCTAAGCTAAAGAGCTGGCGTTGTCCATAGACACCTCCAAGGTCATGTGGCCGCAGGCATAACTGCATGGAGCGCCGTTACCTTCCAGCAGAAGTGGTACCTACTGATCTGCTCACATTTGCATATTTTCAAACTGCTAGGTTGGCAGGAGCTGGGGCTAATAGCAGGAGCTCACTCTGCTCCCCGGATTTGAACCTTCGACCTTTCAATCAGCAAGTTCAGCAGTTCAGTGGTTTACCCACTGCACAAATGAGGGCTCCCTTTAATGTTTCTATAGGTGTCTATTTCAATTGTGTACGAATGCTTTTATGCGAAGCTGCTTTTTAAACAATTGGATTGGAGAAGAACAAACGGGTTTCCTCCCAAATAGACATATGAAAGAAAATATTCGTACTGTGCTGGACCTCTTGGAATACTATGAGATTAATCACCAAAAGAATTCGCTATTTTATCAATAGACGCTGAAAAAGCATTTGACAATTTGAATTGGGATTTCTTCAAGATATTAATACAAGAATTGGATATGGGAGAAAAATTTAATAATGCAATTAATGCAATTTATAATCAGCAAAAAGCTAAAGTGAAAATAAATGGACAAATGACACAAGAATTTAATATATCAAAGGGCACTAGACAAGGGTGCCCATTGTCCCCATTGATATTTATAATGGCAGTAGAGATCCTAATGAAAAAAATAAGAGAAGACGAAAATGTCAAAAGAGCGAAAATTGGCAAATTTGAATATAAAATACGGGCATTTGCAGACGATCTGTTAGGAACAATTGAGGAGCCAAGTAAAAATTTACAAAATTGGTTTATAAAAATAGAGGAATTTGGGAAAGTGGCAGGATTTAAAATGAAAATGAAGAAAACGAAATTGTTATTTAAAAACGTGGAAAAGGGGAAACAAGAAAGGATCCAAGAACAATTTGGAGTGGAAAGTGTCAAAAAAATAAAATACCCAGGAGTCTGGATTTCAGCAAGGAATGGTCAACTCTTGAAAAATAACTATGAAATGGTATGGAAGAAAATGCAAAAAGATCGACAAAAGTGGAGCTATTTAAATCTATCACTACTCGGTCGAATATCCTTAATTAAAATGAATGTCTTACCCAAACTTGTATTTTTGTTTCAAAACATAAAAAAATAAGAAATCAAACTTGATTCAAAAAATGGAAGAAAGGCTTATTTCAATTGTGTACGAATGCTTTTATGCGAAGCTGCTTTGTGCCTCCTTTGGGGAGATCAAGTGGGGTAGGCAGGCATCTCCTCTTCCTCTTCCTCTTCCTCCTCCTCGCTCTCCCTTTTTTCCGGCCTGGGCCTTTCCCTCCCCGCCCTCAGCCTCACTTCACCGCCTCTCTTTCTCTCTCTTGCAAAACAATGACTCCTTGCGCCATGCCACCCTTCCCATCTCTTTTGCATGATGTCAACCTGACACACATTGCCTGGCCACACCATCCCCATTCTCAGAGGGGTCTCCTTCCCAACCCCCAACCCCATTTGGGGACCCCAGCCCCTTGGGGCCACTCACCTGTACCCCTGTTGCCGGGCGGAGCGCACCAGGTGCCGGATGTAGGGCTCCTGGCTGCTCCCGGTCAGTCCCGGGAGGAAGAGCACGATGGGGCGGACACACTCCTGGCTCTCACCTTCCTCCTCCTCCTCCTCACTCTCCTCTTCAGCCCAGTCCAGCAGGACCTGGCCCCCATCCGCTGTGCGCAAGACCTCACTGCAAAAGGAAGGGAGAGAAAGGAAGGCACCCAAGCCCTCCCGACAGAGGCCCATCTAGCCTGAGCAGGTTCGTGGAGGAAGAGGGCCAGGGAAGTGCAGGACCCCAGAGCTGGGGAGATCCCTTGGGTTAGGAGAGGAGTCCAAGGGCCACCCTGTCCAGCCAAACCCACCACACAGATGCTCATCAACACCAATGGGCTGTCATGTAGGTATATTGTGTCAGGAGCGACTCGAGAAACTGCAAGTCGCTTCTGGTGTGAGAGAATTGGCCATCTGCAAGGACGTTGCCCAGGGGACATTGCCCGGATGATTTGATGTTTTTCTCATCCTTGTGGGAGGCTTCTCTCATGTCCCCATATGAGGAGCTGGAGTTGACAGAGGGAGCTCATCCGCCTCTCCCCGGATTCAAACCTGCAACCTGTCGGTCTTCAGTCCTGCCAGCTCAGGAGTTTAACCCACTGCGCCACCGGGCGCTCCATGTCATGTATATTGAAAACTAGCCATCCCCTGCCATGTGTTGCTGTGGCCCAGCCTGCGTATATGTGTGTTGTGTGTGTATATATGCTTATATATGTTCAATGTATTGTCGAAGGCTTTCATGGCTGGAATCACTCAGTTCTTGTGGGTTTTTTCGGGCTATCTGGCCATGTTCTAGAAGCATTTCTCCTGACGTTTCGCCTGCATCTATGGCAAGCTCACCTCTGAGGAAGCTTGCCATAGATGCAGGTGAAACGTCAGGAGAAATGCTTCTAGAACATGGCCAGATAGCCCGAAAAAACCCACAAGAACTGACTTATATATGTTGTTCATTCGTTCAGTCGTTTTCAACTCTTTGTGACTTCATGGTCCAGCCCAGACCAGAGCTCCCTGTCGGCCGTCACCACCCCCAGCTCCTTCAAGGTCAATCCAGCCACTTCAAGGATGCCATCCATCCATCTTGCCCTTGGTCGGCCTCTCTTCCTTTTTCCTTCCATTTTCCCCAGCGTGTGTGTATATATATATATATATTTGTGTATATGTGTATATATGTGGTTTTGCGCATGCATTGTAATGTAATTTTTGTTTTTTGTTTTGTTTTATTTTTTAAGCCTCTTCTGCTGTGTTTTCCGGTGTTTTTCTGAGTGGTGGTCACTCCCTGGCCTGACCGGTGTCTTGTGTCCAAATTTGGTGTCCATTCGTCCGGTGGATTTTGAGTTCTGTTCATCCCACAAACGAACATGACATTTTTATTTCTATAGACACTAGCTGTCCCCTGCCACGTGTTGCTGTGGCCCAGTCTGTGTAGATGTGTTTTGTGTGTGTATATATTTGTGTGTATGTGTATGTATGTGGTTTTGTGCAGGTGCTGTAATGTATTTTTTTGTGGTTTTTTAAGTCTTTTCTGCTGTGTTTTTCAATGTTTTTCTGAGTGACGGTCACTCCCTGGCCTGACCGGTGCCTTGTGTCCAAATTTGGTGTCAATTCACCCAGTGGATTTTGAGTTCTGTTCATCCCACAAACGAACATTGCATTGTTATTTAGATAGATGGTATACTCATACTTTTGTGCCAAGCCACTTGGGGTCCCCTTTGGGGGGATCAAGCGGGGTGTAAATAAACATCATCACAGCATTGTCCAAAGAAGGCTTTCCTGGCCGGAATCACTGGGCCAGGAAAGTGATGTTCCAGAAGCACTCTCTCCTGAGGCTTCGCTCCAAAGCCATTCAAGGCGAATCATGCTGGCCAAGGGCCACACTCTCACTTGCCTCCAGCACACAAGAGTTCTTTCTCCCACCCGGGCCACTATTCCACAGGGATGCCATCCGCATTTTCCTCGTTCCCAACAGACCTTGCAACCTCCGAGGATGCCTGCCATAGATAGATGGAGGTGAAACGTCAGGAGAGAATGCTTCCGAAACATGTCAAACACTTTGGTGGGTGGAATCACTAGGTTGCTGTGAGTGTTCCAGGCTGTTTGGCCATGTTCCAGAAGCACTCTCTCCTGAGGCTTCGCTCCAAAGCCATTCAAGGCGAATCATGCTGGCCAATAGCCACACTCCCACTTGCCTCCAGCAGACAAGAGTTCCTTCTCCCACCCAGGACACCATTCCACAGGTAGACAAACCCAATTTTCCTGGTTTCCAACAGACCTCAGAACCTCTGGGGATGCCTGCCATAGATGTGGGTGAAACGTCAGGAGAGAATGCTTCCGGAACATGGCCAGGCAGCCATACGGAAAACTCTCAGCGACTGGGTCATCATCATCACCATCATCATCATCATGGAGAGAGAGGGCCATGGAACCCTAGGATCCCACAGCTGGGAGGGGTCCTCAAGAAGGCCACCCAGCCCAGCCCAGCCCGGCCATACAAAAAGGCGACCCCCACATTGAGTCCCCTTTGGGGTGGGGGGGGGGCTCAAGCGGGGTCTGTAGACATCAACGTCACCCCCATGTACAGGGTGGCCGGGAGGGGCCCCGAAGAAGGCCCTGCAAGGAGAGGGGGCTCCGCGACCCTTCCCTCTTCCCTTGCCCTGCGTGGGACCCCGGGGGGAGGG